CTTATGGCTGTATTCTGCTGAACTAGAAAAGCAAAAACAGGTTATGGCTGAGTGGAAGGAAAAGGCAGAAAATCTGGAAGGAAAAGTGTCATTACAGGTAGGTCAAAATAGTTTTCTCTTGTAAATTTTATTATTCATGAAATCCTACTTTGTAGGATCTTTGTCTTGAAACTAATCTTCAAAGCTATTCATTTAGTAAATGATGTTCAAGTGGCTGCTCTGTATCTGATCCTCTGCTGGGGCATGACAGTAAACTATATACTCAGGATTTCCCTCGGGTCACTGACTTATAGTATAGAGTAGACACACACAGCAAATGTGAGAAGATAGGATATTTTACTTTTTTAGCACATGTGGGTATTTTAGAGACCTCTAGCTAGGGGAAGAAAACCAAATTAATCTATGATTTTAACTTTATAATTTTCTAACAAAATATACTGGGTACTATATTTCACACGGATTAAAATAATGTGTATGATCCCATTAGATCTTTTTCTTTCATAGGTCATCCTTTAAAATGTTTTTTATTTATTATTCTATAGTTCATACAAACAAAAACAATAAGGTTTAAATAAAATGAATCACTAAGAAACAATACAACACCAAAATGACTTGCTTTTAGATTTAGGAGATACTTTTCTAAGTCATAAGTAGATTTTAGCAAAAGCTAGTGAAAAATAATGAAATTTACTTACCTGGCGTTAGTGGTGAATATGCTATACAGGAACATTAATGTCCCAAGTAAGAGTAGATATATTTCCTACAAAGTTTTAAGACTTTTATTAAATATTAAGTGGCTGCAAAAAAAATTAGGTAATATGTATAAAATATAGCAGCAATACAGCAAATACACACATACTCACCACCCCATGTAAGAAATAGAATGTCATCCTTTGAAGTCCTTATGCACCCCAACACATCTCATCTCCTTCCTACCACCTTGTCGATAACTACTATTCTAATATTTTATGTTTAAAACCCCCTTGTTTTTCTTTATGGTTTTATCACATAGGTTTTCATCTTCAAATGATGTTGTTTGGTTTTGCATATTTTTGAAGTCTTTATAAATGAAAGTTGAACTGTATGTAAATCAAATAACTCTTCTGAGACTTGCTTCTTCAGCTATGTTACTGTGTGTAGATGGTTCATTATTTTTACTGCATGAATATATAATTTATTTACCCATTTTACTAATAAAGGACATTTCAGATGTCTTCTATGCAAACAATGTGATTATGTACTTTCTTGTTTATATCTCCTGGTGCACACATAGAAGAGTTTCTTTCAGGTGTGTATCTTGATTGAAATTGCTGAGTTACCAGACCTATAAGAATACTTCAAAAACTTCATGGAAAAATAGAATTAAAAGATAATATGAATCTTTTCCATAAACTTTTTGAAGTACCCTCATATATGGGCTGCCTCAGCTTTATTAGATGATGGCAAATTGTTTTTTAAAGCAATTGTGATAATTTACTTCTAGCAGCAATGTGTAAGAGTTCTTATTCTACATCCTTGCAAACATTTCGTGTTATCTGACATCGTGTTTTTGCCAGTCTGATGGGTTGGAAGGTGCCTTTGTTTTGTGCTGCTATAACAGAATACCACAAACTGGGTAATTTATAATGAACAGGAATTTATTGGCTCACAATTCTGGAGGCTGAGAAGTCTAAGCTTGAGGGGCTGGTATCTCACGAAGGCCTTCCTGCCATCTCATCCCATCGTGGGAGGGCAAAGAGAGGCAAGAGAAAGAGCAAGAGGTGGCCAAACTCATCTTTATAAGGAATCCACTCCTATGATAAGGAACCTGCTTCCACAATAATGGCATTAATTCATTCATGACGGCAGTGCCCTCATGAACCAAATATCTCCCATTAGGCCTCACCTCCCAACACCACTGTATTAGGTATCAAGTTTCCAACACAGGATCTTTGAGGGGACACATTCAAACAATAGCAGAAGTACTATCTTCTAGTAGTTTTAATTTCCATTTCCCTGATTACTAATGAGATCGAACATCTTTTAATATTTTTATTGATCATTTATGCTTGCTTTCTTGTCAGTTCATTAATACATTTAAGAAGATATACTTTATCCAACACTTAGTTATTCCCAGTGAGTCCAGAGTATCTAATCTGTCAAACTGCTAGGATGGAAGTTCAGACCTTTTAAAACTAGTGTTTTTTGTCTTTTTTTTTTTAAATTTAAAATATGATATGCATTTAGAAAAAGAACAAAATAAATTAGAAGTAACTAAGAGAACTAATAAAGATAAAAGCTGAAATTATTGAAATAGTAACCAAACACAAGGGAGAAAGAAAAATGAAGTATAAATGCTGATTTTTGAAAAAGTCTTAGTGTAAAAAGTCTTAGTGTAGTTTTAAGCTTTATTAATTTTGTAAGTATAAATGCTACAGGGCTAAAAAAGTAATTTGGAAGTTTATTTAAATTTCATTCACCTTAAGTTTAGTTTTGTAGATTTT